CTATTATAAGGGAAGGGGTGTAGATGGTTGATCTACCTTCACCATTACTATTGTTGCCAGAATTGGACATTAAAATATTATCAGAAAGAAAACTACAACTGGACTGTTTACTAAGAGAACATCACTTATGAAGATAATCATCAGTAATTACTGGAAATGCAGACAAAGAAACACAGTCCTCCATGTCTGGCTGCATGTAGGTGGCTCTTTTGTGGTATTCCTCAAGAGAAGGAGGTCACCAAAGAAAGTATAGCTAATGTATTCAGGTAAGTATTATGTTTTGCAAATGTTAGACGAAAAACTGGTGAGGTGAGAAAGAAGAAAAAAATGGGTAGGGGTGAAGGTCGGGGACCCAGGTAGGATGGTTATTATTCTGTGAATAATGGGATACAAACAACACAAATGGACAGAAGAACATTTGAACAAAAGCCAACAAGGATTGACTCATGTGGGACAAAGGTGAGCACAGAGGAGGAAAGGAATATAGATGAGCAGTAAATGGCAGTGGCTAAGAGGCAGACAGCAGATCACAGATGGTTGAAGTGAGGACAGAGAGCATCCTCTGTGGGCTGTGGCTCTTGAAGATGGAACAATCTTGTAAGAAGTAAAACAAGAAAAGGAAGCAGGAGGAAGAATAAAAAAGAAGAATCCAGACACATCACAGCCTGGACTTTGTTTCTTTGTTAAGCTGAAGCACAAAGATTGCAGTCCTTTAGGCAATGAAGTGATTGTCAAACAAGATGGATTTTACATCTGGTTCATTAATCAGAGAAGTCACATCCCATTGTAAATGTTTGTATATAAGAAGGTTGTTTCGCATTATTATTAACATTAGTAATGGTGAAAGTAGTTATTCAAGTCAGTTATTTACAGAGTTTGTACACATTTAAGTATTCAATTCAAATTACTAAAGTTACAAACAAATAAATTACAAACTTAAAAATAAATATAAAATTTGATATTTAAACATATTCATCAATCTGCTGACAAGCGTTTATTTAACAACTGGTATATTCTGATCATTAGCAGGGCCCTGTGGGTTAGAATAATAGCAGGTAGATCTTACCTCTCCACTGCGCACTGCCAGCCTGAGAAAAATCCGTCGCAGGTTTTGCTGCCGCCGAAGCCATCACAGCCGACTCTCCTCCTCCAATAACAAGTAAATAAAAAAAAATAAAAAAAATTCCATATCTATCTTTTTGTTTTTGTTGTTTCTTTCCGTATTTCTCGAGCTGTCGGATTTTGTTTGGCGCTGTTTTTGGGGTAAACGTGATGACGTCGTGTCGTAACCAGGAAGTGCTCCAAAGGCGTCCTCCCAAGTACGCAGCCTGCGAATTGAGACGCAGCCTGTGATTGGTTGGCCTATAGAACCCCCCCCCCCACATTTGCTCTCACATCTTCAAACACAAGTTCGTTTTGGCACAAATATCTCGCAAGGAATGTGACAAAAGTCAAAGCGCGGTGTCAACGTGCTGTGTCTCGCGAGAGCGCGTTTGTGTTCTTGAAGCAGCAGATTCAAGAAGCTGTAATGGCTAAATTGAGGTTGTAATGCAATATTAACATTTGCAAAAAAATAATAATTACAAATAAACTATCAATAATCATTTGTCAGCCGTAATTTTATTTGTGTAAAACTATATGAACACACCAGTAAATAGTTTTTTTGTGCATTCACATTTAAATCAGATTTGAGTGAAAATCCTCTTCAGGTGAAGATTGGACTGACAAGTGTAATTTTTTTTTTACATGGTCTTGCCTGATATTTCTTCTAGTGCAACTTCAAATTCAGTTTGTGTGTGTGCGGTTTTTCTTTACAGCAGAACATTTTGGCATACAAGTTCAGATTTTTGTGGTACAAATTCTCACATTGCATTCTCAAGTTTTCACATTAAATTCACAAGTTCGTTCATTTTGGCACATATTTACCTTCATAGACATCCTTTGTTTGTTGGTTATGAAGCATGTTACAAACAACTATAGCTTTGAACCATAATGGTAGCGATTTATGCTCCCCGTTGTTCCCACCTCCCTAACCTCCCACCTCAGTTTTTACTACTGAACAGCTTGGCCACATGGCAACAACTCACGACTTGATAAAATCTAAAAACTGCACATAATATCTGCTGTGAGTTTCGCACATTTGTAGAATAACATGCAAATCTTTAAAATAGTGGTGTTCAAATCCAGTCCTAAGGGCTACTATCTTGCATATTGAAATTACGTTTCAAGAAAGAAAAACAGCAAAAGCGGATTACAAAGCTAAGGTGAGCCAAAAAGAAGGAACTAGCAGCTTCCTGGAAATGTATTGGAGTAGAAAGTAAAATATTTGATTTGAAATGTAGTGGAAGTTATAAGCATTCCCCTGAAAAAAATTACTCAAGTAAAGAAACTGCAAAAAAGTACTTAAATACAGTAATCAAGTAAATTTACTTGGCTACTTTCCACCACTGTCCAATACTGAAGAAAATACAGTATGGTATTGGCAATGCTGACACAACACTTTTTTTTGCAATACAACTAATATGTTTTTTAGCTGTACAAAATAATATAACTGGTCTATAACAGTGGTTTTCAAACTGGCTCCTCATGTCCAGCATGTTTCTGTTTCTCCCTTCGTTTATAAATGTGTAATTAACAGGCCTCTGGATCCTTTTGTTGCTGCTGAGGAGGAATGCAATGATCAGAAACATCTAAAACAGAAAAAGTGAGCCCCATGATTGAAAACCACTGCTGTATAATACTGGGTGGCTCTAATCTTTAAAAATATTTAGTTGAATAAAGAAATGCCACAATTATTGCACTCAAATTGTCAACATCAGTGTTTTGAATATTAATTGAACAGCTATAGCTAACTAGACAGATTGTAAATAGTAAAACATACTTTTCATAAGCAGTTTTTATGAAAACAGTTCAACATGTCTGCCTGTGTGAAAAAACTAAATTAATGCAGGTATTTGTAGAAAGCAAGTATTTTTTCTGTGACTTTTTTAATAACCATATGAGCAGCTTCCACTGCAGCGGTGCCTAGTGCCATTTAAAGCTCCACATATCCTCACTCTGTAACTTCATGATTTCTGCCTCTGCTCTTCCTCCTCTGTCCTTGACATCAATTCTGCATATTCTGTGTTGTGCAGCGTGTGACGAGGTTGTCGTGTAGCAACAATTTCTTTCTGTTTTCCCACAAACATAACAGATCACATTTTGGCTATTTGTTGGACTGAAATAACTCATAGACTTCTTTTATGATCTGCTCCTGTTTGTTTGAGAAGCACATCATACTGTGGTTGGAAGAAGAAAAAGTAGTTCCCATCGAACGCATGAATTTTGTCTATTTTCTTATCAACATGCATTACCACAAATGACTGTAGTATCAAAACTGTTGAAATTTGAATTGAAAAGAGAGCCTGGTGTCTGAGGTGTCTCTATTTAAGTATTGAGCTTTCATAATTTGAAGAGTCAGCTATGCACAAACATCTCATGTCATGCACAGATGACCAGTCTAAAGGAACACTGTAGAACCGTTCAAGGGAATTATGGGGTAAGAAAAGCTCTTGCAGATGCAATATTCGATATGTGTGTTCCTCCCTGCTCACTGTCGTATGGATTATGACAATTATAAAGCAGTGACTCTTTTCTTGCAGTCTTCTCCTGATGTATAAAAAATTAACATGCATTTAAATTACTAAAATGGCATGTTCTTTTGTCTTCCCCATTATAGTGAGTGGCCAAGCTTCTCCCATTTACAATGTCTATCTCCATATCTATAACATAATAGATACCTTATTAAAATATTGTAGAGACACTTAAAAATAGCAAAGCTCTTTGCATTATTGCATTTACCTTGTTAAACTATTTCTGATTTTGCTTTTTATTTAATGTTTGCTCTGCTAAAGATCCTTTAGAAACACTATTACATTTTGTTAAATGTCAAAGGATGCATTGACAATGCTTATTTGATTACCTTAAAGGAGTCTTTAAATTACATAAATACCTGAGCATGAGCCGAATAACAATTAAGCCTCTGATTTTGTGAGGATTATAACTTGAATGTTTGAAAATCAAGGAAAGAAAAGGCTACCTACTTCTCTCTCTTTCTTAGAATATTTTGTTAAAACTTAGTGTTTGAGGTGATAAATGGAATTACCATAGCAAAAAAAAAAAGGTTTGCATTTTATCATTTTATTTTGACAAACATTAGCTATCCATTTGTGGAAGACAGCATCCATCCATCCAAGACAGCATCCAGCATCATCCACTGGCAGACAGCAAAACACATGTAGGAACAGACAGGAACACAGAGTTACAAAGTAAACAGCAAGACAGTTGGAATTTCAGCTGCAGAAGACTTTGCCTCCTTTCAGTGTTGCTATAATTATTACCTCTGCCTCAGCTCTGGCACACAGTCATCATGTTAACACTCTGCATTGTACATTAATCACTCGGCCGCAGAAAATGCCACACAAACAGACAGACAGACACGCAGATGAGGTGGATGAGGCCAGGCATGCCTGGCAGGCTGCATATTCCTTCCTTTCCCACTTGTCTGAAATGTTAATGAGCTTTAATGGGGCTGAGTTAATGAACAGGAGATGAGGAAAGTTTTATAGGAGAAGGAGGCAGGCAGGTTGGGTGCTAGGGTCCTCATGGCTCATTTATTTGGAGAGTGTGTCTGCAAAGTATTAGTTCCCCATGAGTCACAGCTGTCACTCTTGAAATTTCTGCAATAATTGTGTTTGGAAAGCGATTACAGTGAAGGTCAGGACTTATTTTTCCTGGGGATCTGAAGCTAAACCCAATTATAGCTCAGTACATAGTTTAACTTTTTCTATTGGCAATGCTTCCCTAAATTTAAAGTTTTGAATATCAATCCAGGTAAACAGTCATTAGTTTATTTTATTTTTTTCATTTAGACTATATGTGTAGAACCATAGATCAAACTTAGGGAGTCTGCGCTTACAAATTTGTCTTTGAACTTGTTTTTATGCTCTTTGCGCCTGCAGAGTGCCGCATGATGAAATCAGTGACCTATGGCAGGATGTCAGGCTCTCTCAACAGATGCTCCCCCAGGACTGGCATCCAATCACAACGCAGCAAGTCACCAGCATCTGGTAAAGCATTCCTCTTTTTTTATGCAGTGACTTGCAAAAGCATTAAGTCGACTTAAACTTTTTCACATTTTGTTACAGTAGAGGCACAAACGTCACAAAATGTGATAAAAGAGTTTCCAGAAACAGGAAAAATGGAAATGTTAATGGAATGTAGAGCTTAATTCTTTTGAGGGAGAACACAATTTAAAACCTAAACTTAGAACAAAAACTCAACTATCACACGAAAAGCCAAAAGTAGGTAAAAACCACAAAACTATGAAAATGCAAAACTCAAGTGCCATGTCTCATAACATATAAAATAAATAAAAAAACATAGCTATGAACTAGTTTCATATTCTATCATAGTTTCATATTCTAGCTGCAAGCCATTAAAGATGCTGCTGCCTACACCTACAGTGCTTGCAAGAGGGAAATTTATCAACATAAACAGAGGAGTGGTTTGGTGACCTATGCTAACTCTAGAGGAGCTGCAAAGGTCCCTCGCTCATGTAGAGAAAGCAGCTGAACGGATAAGTTGGAACAGACACAACAGATTATATAAGGGTGGTAAGAAGTAGCGCTCAATTATTTTGCCAAAAATGAAAATTGTGAGTATTTTGAACCAACATTGCATTGCAATCTTATTTATACTTTCCTTTGCACTAACAACAAATTTGCAGATGTTTCACTCTAAGGTTTAGGTTTTTTATGACCTTGAAAGCTTGCTTCTCCAGAGTCCATCGCTGTAGGACTCAACTGTAATCTTTGTGTTGAAGTGCTAAATTCTACTAGCATATATGAATCTGGGTGTGTTCAGAGGCTGCATCCTCAAAGGACCCATCTACCTGGACTGGGAAAATAAGGAGGCCGGAGGAGTTTTGGCTATGGATTCAAACAGGTCAAGCCTTCTCCGGCTTCCAACGCCCATACACTCTGTCGCCTAGCAACTGTAACAATTGACACACAAAGCAGGCAAAAAATGGATACCAAACTTCTCAGTACTGTTCCAGGTGCTAATATTATTTTTGAGGAGCTTCAGCAGCAGTACTGTCATTGTGAATATCAGATTTATAGTCCACACACTGCAAAGATATTTGAATCTGTGCTTAAATACCAGCGGAACCCATTTGCACAAAGACAGATAAAACCTTTTCATTAACCACTAAGACTTAGACTTAGACAAATTTTAATGTCATTTTGTATGCACAGAGTTTATACAAAGGTGTATACAAAATAATATTTCTTTTTGCACAGCCATCGTGACATTTCCATTTTCTTAAAGTGCAGCAGTGAAAAAATGTAAGCATTGGGAGAAAAAAATGGTGCAAAAAAACATTGATATGGGCAGTTTGATGGCTATGATATGATTTACAGTGTTTTCAACATTTAGCTTTTTTTTAAATTATTATTCTTTTTTTTTTCTCAGGTGTTTTTTTCGGCATTTAGCTGAATCTGAAACCAAATTTTATCCGTCACATATCGGACTCACTTATATTAAACTGCACTTGCAATATTCCCTACTGTTAGCCGCCATTTACCTTCTCCCTCTGAGCACAGAGCCGGTAGCTTGCTTTGAATCGCAATGAATCATGGGATTAGAGATGGGAAGTAACGAAGTACAAATACTTCGTTACTGTACTCAAGTAGATTTTTCAGATATTTTTACTTTACTTTACTACTAATTTTTATGGAGACTTTTTACTTCTACTCCTTACATTTTAAAAAAATTGGCTCGTTACTTTAGTTTTTAATCATTTTAATGGAGTTACTGTTATTATTTTTCACGTCATCAGTACCAAATTCAATCTAATTGGATGGGAATCTACGTTTCATTTGACGCACCACTACAAGATGAATCGACAGATTCGGCGGTATTCATTGGCGGCAAATCATTGCAGCTTGGTGGCGGTGGCGTTAGCATAGTAGCATGGATGACGAGATGATTGAAAATGAACACAATGGAGATCTAGTCCTATTGGCAGACATCCATTTAAAATGTAGGCAACGGCATGAAAAAAGTGGTTTCTACTTTTACTTTTATACTTTAAGTAAATTTACAAGCCTGTACTTTGTTACTTTTACTTGAGTAAAGAAGTTTAATCATTACTTCCACTTTTTACCTTCCACCTTACCTTCCACTTTTCCACTTTTAGTATTTTTTAACACAAGTATCTGTACTTTTACTCAAGTACGGAAAGTGAGTACTTTTGCCATCTCTGCATGGGATCTCCAAGGCTACGTAGGATACACCAAACCTGTCTTTCAAAATGGACAAAACGAAGGCTGTATATTTTGGCCGCATAGTGAGGAGTCTTCCACTCCGAACAGGCTTCGGCGCCACGCTATGGCGTAATTGGCTGACGAATCTGGCCTTTGGAGGATACAGCCACTGAATTGAAACTCAATCTCTGTGTTATGCACAACTCTCTCTTCCTGCCTGCATGCACAATCTCACTTTATGCATATTCCTGACACCTAAAGGGCTGGAGTGAAAAGTTTACTTACTCTTGTTAAATGCCTCTGTGATTAACAAAATTGCATTCTGTTAAATTGCGCTTATTTTGCAAATGTAATTAATTGTCCAGCCCTAGTAAAAAGGAGCCATGCTTGTAAGAAAACTGAAATAAGCCCAATTTGCAGTATACCACTTTTCATGTTGTTGGCACATCAAGCACAACAGAAATTATGCCATGTCTATAGAAAACAAACCCTACACTTCATCCTGAACTCACAAACCCCACTGTGAGATATATTTGTGTCTGCATGATGCTGTCCAGATGCTTTTCTTCAGCAGGGATAAGACAGCCTAGTGTGAATGGGAAGACAGATGCAAGCAGTTCTCACCTTTCCAGGCTCACCTTTCAAAATAAAGCACAACCAAACATGGAAAGGTCCAGATCAGAGCATACTATTGTGTTAGAAGGCAATACAACATTTTCTTTTGGCTTTGCAATCATGCACTACTTTGTGTTTGTGTATTACATTGAATTCAAAGTGTGTGGTTGTGACATAGATAGAATATCGTATGCCACAAATAAAAGGATTTATATGGGATTTATTTAGTCCTTTAATCCTTTTTGCCTGTATTTATATCAACAGAATATAAACTGAAATCATTGGGGGTATTTTGTGTTTAAAAACTTCCTCATCTTTTTTTCCCCTCATGTTTTCAGCCCATTACTTCCGTCTGTGTCGCAGCATACTGTGAATCAACTCTGTAATGAGATCTGAGCTCTGCAGACTGTTTGGCTGTGTTGACATACATGTGCGCTGTGTCTCTGTGTATGCAAAATTCAAATGAGATGAGATCCAGCTGATTTCACCTTGGAGGGGAGGAAAATTCAACCAGAGAGAGGTAACAAAAGAGAGGGAGAGAGAGGAAAGATGAGAGGACTGGTGACTCAATTCTGCAGCTCCACACAAGCTGCTCCTCACCTGACATAATAACGAAGACTGATGAAAAATTAAGAGCATGCACAAGCACTGTGCTTAGTTTGTTTGTGCCTGAGAGGACACATAGAAAACTCTTTCAGAGGAAACAGACATCCAAACAAATGAATATTAATTCCATTAAATGAATGCAGTCTCCCTGATGCAACCTTGCATTGTTGTGTGCCAGACATTTAGTCTGGCTTAATAAGTCTGAGGACTTGGTGATTACTTTCCAGATTTAGCAAATATAAATTCATTCTATGCCTGATTGCACAACGTGAGCTGTGGCCGGTATTGCCTAGTTATGCAACAACCCACTTAACTTTTTAATTTCTGCTGTAATTATGAAGTTAGTGACTGTTCAGAGACCTACTGGGTCCGGGATGATTCAGTAGGGTGATGCAATGCCCAGAAATCCTACAGAAAGGATTTGTTTCACCTGCCTTTTGAAGACATAAACATGCACAAAATCTGTTTCATTTTTCACAAAGATGATGACTGCAGAATGAAGATCTGAAAAACTAAGTGAGAATGTACAGAGAGACAGGTGCTTTTATGGATAAGGAAGCTTTTGGGTGCTGCCAGACTGAGAACTTTGGAGAAAAGGTTATGAGGGTGAGTCATACCCTCTCTGATCTGGTTCTCAGCATCACATCTGCAACCAAGGTGTACATAAGTGTGTGTATGTGTGTAAGAGAGAAATAGAGTGATGGAGAGAAAGAGAAAACACAAAAAGTCATGTCTGGTGGGGGGGAGACTTCTCTTGGTTGCTATGGAAACGCGGCACACTTGGAGCATGTGGCTGGAGACACAATAGACACCCATATATGGCAGCTACTTCCTGTGAAATGGCCGTCTGTACAGACAGATCCGACTGACACTTGTTTCCCGACTAGAATCCTGAGTCAGACGGTCCTGACATGACGCTTCTTCTTTCCAAAAGTGTCCCCCCAGCCTCACCTTTGCTCTTTAACATCATCTGATGTTGTTATGATGGTGTTGACAGTTTAGATTTTATTTCCTAGAACATTGATTGTTTGAAATAAGAGAGAGGCAGAAAATGCAGTGACAGCAGGAAAACAACTGATGAATCTGTTGTTCGACCCTCTCTGCTCCTGTATTGTTTATTACCCCCAACCCCTTCTCACTTCAAAAATACACCATGCCCACTTCCCTGCAGGACAATTTGTTCTCAAATGAAAAAAGTCAACAACATCTTCTGTTTTCCACTGTTCCCATTTTGCCCTTTCTGCTGCTGTTATGTGATTGCAAAAAGGACTTACTGGGATTCACCAGGGCTCAGTAATAACAATATATCAATATATATTACAATATGCACCTGATCTATATTAATAGAAGGTATGTCAGGTATAAATCTGTCTAATTTAAGTGAACTCTGGTCCAGAACCACGTGGCATTAAAGCTACAGTGTGTAATAATTACAGGCATATAAATTCAGAAATTTAATATATTATACATAACTATGTTATTTATCATCACCTATGAGCTCAGCCTTTTAACCATAACATTTGCGTTGCCTTAGAATTCGTTATTTATAATTACATAGGAGCGGGTCTCCCAGCCATGGA